TTCGTTTTATTTTGTGTGTAACCTACGAATTGTCTACAACCATCGCTAAGATAAATTCAAAAACTTTAATGTACCTAACATAATATTACGGTACCCTAACAAAACCCGCAATCATTATTGCATGTTCGAAATATAAAATGTATTTATAAAACCAGATGACGTTTTACTTGAGCAAGTGTGTTAAATAATGTGATTTATTATGTTAAAAAACTACAGATAATGTATTTGAAAACGATAAGTTTTTTGAGAATTGATTTATGATTTTCGAGAAAAATTATTGACGAAAATTAGTTTTGATAAATAATAATGGTAAAATATAAAGCTTAAAAAAAAATACAGCTTTTTGTGTCATAAAATATATGAAGTGTAAATGTTGAAAATAGTTAAAAGTAATGTGATTCATTTAGGTACAACTAAATAATACGAAAATTGTTGAGCATTTGTCTACCCTAAAAAAACAAAATAAATAAATTAAAAATACTTTAAAGATATAATACCTTTTCACGTTACTCGACGTAGTTTTACGTCTACTGTTTTAAAACGCACGATATAATTTTCGTTCAAAATCCGTTTTATATTATGATATTATGGAATGAGCTCGATTAAATTCAATTTGGGTCAGTAGTTTGATGATGAAAATATTATTCAATTGTTCAATTTACTCATTAAACCCATAATAGTAACAGTTATTATGCGTTCTACGTTAGGAATGTTTAATACATTTAATATATATATATGTATAATATATATTATTAAATAAATAAATATTACTATAGACATGCAATTTATGTTCCGCGGATTATTTCTAACGAATAATTACTATCGATTTTAATGAAATAAACTAACAGAGCAACCGTATCTTGTTACGTGTTTAATGTTGTAATATTACCAATATTGATGGTCCCATAATTTATGTAAAAGTTTATTTTCTTCTTAAATGATTAAATATAGAACTCAACATTACAGTTGAGAGCAATTAATATTATTATTGTTTTTGGCTATTTAATATTATTTGCTCAATCATAGTTGTAGAAACAATAAACATTTAATAACAATATTACATTTACTATCAAAATTTAGATTGAAAATTAATTCCTTTATAAATTCGACTTTATTAAGGCATATTCTAATAGTGTTATTCATATTCAACAATATTTATAAGTTTTGGTACGCTCCATTTATTTGCATCAAAATAATTTGAAAATATATTTTGTATAGTATTATAAAACCGCTAGTATGCATGCAATGGTCATTAGTTTTATTGAGAAAAAAAACATTTTACCATGATTTATTTGGATAGTGATTGATTGTAGTGTGAAAAGAACCCAAGTTGGCCCACACGTATAATTGATGTATTGTGTTTTCCACGTAGTTGCAGTAGATACTATTCGACATTTATTCCAGATCGGAACTATGTTATTGGGATGCACTATATGACCTATACGTACAGATGAGATACATTCAATTTATCTGTCTATAGATTATGTTTGAAACGTCTACCTAATGAAATATGGGATAAAATTATATGCGAATCGCATAATGCGATGTTGTGATGGTCGTCGAAAACCGTTTTGAAAATCAATAAAATTCATTAATTTTCGTTTCAAGAGTAGGTCCTTGGACGGTTGAATACAATGAACCGTTTAAAATTAGACGGAGAAAAATAATTGAATTCATCTTTTATAGGAGAACTGTTTATCAGTCGTCCAAGAAGTTTGTATTTAATTGCGAAAGTAATGTGATAAATGATCGTAGAATTACTTTTGTCGGTATATCACCAGACATACGTTGGACAATCAACTGCATTGCAAGATGCTCTTAGATTTAACCTTTATGTACAATCTCTAAAGATAAAAATTAATATGCATATGTGATTTTTGCGGTAAGTACCGGTAGATAAACAGTGTTGGTAGGAATACGAGGTGAAAATAACTCGTTAAGTGCTTATTAAAAAAAAGTATTGTTGTCGAAAATCTTAACTCAACTATTAGGTATGAGATTTACAACAAAAAAGTTGCACCGTCGTGTTAAATTAATTTTGTGACGCCATCTACCGTGCATTGGACGTACCTGTATACACAGTTGACTTGGTTATGGCGAGTCCGGAAAAATGAAAACTGTGCAACAATTATAAATAAGTTACACACACCTGTCATCTATATAATGCGAACTCTGTATTATGTACGAAAAACTGTACACAAAACGCACACACACATACACACACACACACACACACACACAAAACACACCATGTATAAGTAAGGTAAGTTAGTTTACTGTGTACGTTAGACCTCAAAACACCACAAATACCGAACTTCGTATGACTACAATATAGGTACTCATCATAGTACGATAGAACGTAATTTACATATTTGTGAGTATTATTATTTCTAAGTGTTAAGCAGAAAATAAAGCTCAATAATAACTGAAACAGAATCCTAGTTATTTAAATATATTTAAGATTCTGATATCTATATAATATTATCTACTCTTATCTACTCTTGTGTACGGAAATTATATCTTTAGGGTCCTACGACTCTTCCTATATATCTTAGGTATATACAAGATTGGAATTTTACAGCATTTGCATATTTCTCATAAGATGCATAAGAAACAGCAAAGTATGTTAAAAATATATTACCTAGTACAGATAACTCATATAAAAAATTTTATTTTGCATATTTTATGAATATTTTAGATTTTAGTGCTATTTTTGGACTTGAGGTGTTTCACACTTTTCCCTGTTTTTGAATCAAAATTGGTTAAATTATATGAAATTATATTTTAGTAAACGTGTTTTTAAATTATTGTCAATTGAATTGTCAAAGTAAATATGATATAGGTTAAGTAAATACCGTTTATGCACGAACGCTGATACGACGCGTCGTTCATAATTTCGTATTATTTGGTTCAAATTTTTAACTTTTGCCATCTACTGATTTTGTAGGAGTGTTTTTTCTTCATTTCTACTGTGGTTATAATCTCTACTTCTAAGAGAGGATCAAACGTTTGTTAAATCGTTGTATACTCTATTAATTTTAAACAAGTGTCTCAAGTACCTACCCGTACTCAGAGTGACTAAAAATGATTTCAAAACTTAAGTAACTACCTATAATAATTTGTAAATGGTTTATAAATTAGTAAATTTCCGTTTTTCTTCTTCATATTTTGTTGTTTTTATTGCATATTTTTATCCCATATTGAGTGGTATTTAATGTAATATTATAACACATATTTATTCAATTTTAAGCTCTATAAGCTCCTAATAACCCTTCAGTTATATGCAACTGGTAGGTATAATAGAAATACTATTTATGAGAACTACCGTTGTTCTGAATTACAGTAGTATCATACACACACGTTTAAATATTATTTAATATAAAATTTGAATGCATTTCTTTCCTCCTGTATTTAAGTCAATAATTTAATAATTTCTTAAAACTAAAAAGTGTTCCGAACAATAGGAACAGCTAACTAATAATGTCTATAAATAATTATGCATATTCTTATTTAATCAAATTTGAAAAATATTTTTCATTTATATCATAATATGATACTATGATATAAACATACAAATTATTACAACTATTATTTTTTTTTAAATGTACCTACTTATAAAACATTGTAACTCATATAGCTTTGTGAATTCATTATTTCGTCGAGAGACACAATATTATTATTCGCACGCATAATGATTTGAAAGACTTGGAATCATTTTGTTTTAAATATACGTACATTTAATCATAAAAAGTATGTAATGTGTGCATATATATTGTATATTATTTATTTTTTCATACAGTAAAATAATGCGTACCTACAAAGCTGCCATAAGTTTGTACCTATATGTAAATCATTCCCACTTTGTGTTGTATATTTAAATGAAATATTTTTTATGCTTTCAATATTCATGTAACATGCAATATAATATTATTCCCATATGGACATATGGAAGCAATAAATAAAATATGTTTCCAAGATGAAATCGTCATCAAATAACATTGAGACGGCTTGTGTTCAATAAAGAGAAAGAGAACGAAATATTTTTCAGTCCCAATATCGAAATATATTTTTTGTTTCGCAATATGTTAGAGTGTATCTGTCAAAGTGAAAATTGGCCAAATAACATACAGCATGTACAGTTTTTGTATTATTTTATTGATATTATTTGTTTTTAACAAATATACTTTAACCTTAATAATATAACGACTGAATATTTTTAATATTTTAATATTTATAAAAACAAAACGAGTTTAGCTTAGATTATCAAGTAAAAATAACAAAAATAAAAGCAGTTAATATAACACGTGGGTACCTATTATAAATTAATAATTATACATAGTTATAATATGACGGAAGAAATATTTCTTTTGAATTATATTGCTAACGTATGTGTACAAAACAAGCGGTTTTCGTGAAAGATTTATTATAAATATATGAAATTGTTCTGTCGTATCGTTTACTATCACTCTGATTTTTAATCGTAAATGTACCTATAAGAAAAGTTTGAGTACATTTGATTAAGAGAATAGAGAGTACAAAAATGTAATTGATTTAAACAATTTTTATTTGCATAACTAGAAATACTTTTTTTAAATAGAAAAAGGAGAAATACATTTATAGTAACATTTTTTGATGCCTTGAAACAAAAAATACAAATGCAATATAAAATATTTATTAATTGCATACCACATAGACAATTCAGACAATAATATTATATTTAATGTAAAAAAACAGTCGAATTGTGTCATGTAAGCCATTGTTTTTAATCAGGCTTTGTACGAAAATAGACATTTTATCGGTTTTTTAAATCGTACATTATATTTTTCATTTCAAGCCTTAACATTTATCGTATATCAACTTCTCTAATACTGAATCATTATTACTTATCACACATTATACAATAAACGTTATTGTATTCACCGCAACACCTATACCATGCTATCACTACTTGCACTTAATATTATACAATATACATCTATTTATCTATTTTTACACAAAAGTTGCTGGATTCACGAATCTCTTTACTCGTGGATACTCTCGGGTCCGGTGTGTCTGTCGATGTTGGCCAACCTCGTGTTTCTGATCAACATTGTCAGACTTCTGTTGGTCAAGTTGCACGCCCGACAGATAACCATGTCCAGTCCGAAACACGTGCCGCCCAGGGAACGGGCTCAGTCATTCAGCCTCCGGAGGTGAGTAGTAAGGTCGGTCGCAATCCGAAAACCGTGTGGGCCAATGTCTGTAGAAAAAGTGACAAACGGCGTGGTACCGTCGGTATATTATCGATCGGACTGTAACCAACAAATAATAAAACTTGTCCGTGTGTGGTGTGTCCTACAGCTTTAAACGGAACAACTGCAGTGTGGACAGCTACGACAAGGCGCCAGCGTCGTCGAGTAGGACCGGCAAGGCGGTCCGGGCCACGCTCATCCTGATACCATTACTCGGGCTCCAGTACATCGTGACGCCGTTCCGACCGGAACCCGGAACTTCCTGGGAGCCCGTGTACCAGGTCACATCCGCTGTGGTCGCCTCGTGCCAGGGCTTGTGCGTGGCACTGTTGTTTTGCTTCTGCAACGGAGAGGTGAAGACGGCGACGACGTTAATAATAATAATTTTTTAACAAATTCACAATACTATTTGGTGTCGGTTAACTACAGTTTTCTGTTTGGCTTCACTTAGGTACTATCCGAAATGAAGAAACGGTGGAAACACTGCTGGATCAACAAGAACGGATCGTGGAATCCTTGCATGAGAGGTACATCTGTCTCCTCGCCTCAACACCACCCTCGGCTATTGGTGACCGAAGATCAGCAGACCCAGGTGACCACAACAACTTGTTTTCTCGTTTAATTTATATTTACTATAATGTGTATTTATAATATTCAAATCATTTGCAAAGAAATAAGTTTTCAAAAACGAGTAAAAGAATTACCGTTTTATAATAAAAACAAAAATCACTTCGTATGGTATAATAATAATAATAATAATAATAATAATAATAATATGTTGGCCAATGGCTCTCTATATATTGACTATCATTTATTCAAAGGGTTTTGGTTTTTCTTTTCAGAGGACCGGAAGCATACAAGTTTTGCCGCGAAAAGATTCTGCCGAATGTTTTCAAAACGTTCAACTCTAGGACACACAAAACACGCGTTACGACATTATTATTATTTTTTTCCTGTACAATATAATACGTGTAATATATCATGATATAATATTTTCTCGTCGCTGTTCAGACGACGGCGTCTCTTATCTGCGACTGGACCGGTTGAGTAGTGCCCGTGACGTTGGTATGCGTGGTGCCGCGTCTCTTGATCCTGCGAATGTACTTGTGAAATGCTCCGTGAACATCCACGTTGGCGAAACAGAACAGCACCGACACGCAGAGGCCCTGCGGAATTGGGCAACAAAAGACATGGTCAGAAAAAGTAGAGTCAGTGGTTATACTAGGGGTGTGCTCAGGCGTTCCCGGATTCCCGTGTCCGATCGACTGTCGAGTGATGTCGTGGAAGTCGATGGGACAATGTTCTATAACGATTTAAATTTCGAAAAAAAGAAATCCCTAATGTGTAATCTTAGGCTAGTCGGGATTTTTGTGTCGAGTAATGCCGAATCTAATGAGAACCCGTCAAGCTGTATTTCCTAAAGCCCATTGATCTAAGGTCAAAATATTCTTGTCACCTTTTTATTTTGGAATATCTGAGCACCCCATACTAAGTGTTGGGCAAAAAACTCCACATAACGCCTATAAGAATAAATAAATTATGTTTGTCATAATATATAGGTATATATAACTTATGAATGGTATAATATAATCATTTTAAATTTAATTTTGTCTTTGTATTATATAAAAATAGTAATTAAAATATAGTTATTTATTGTTTTATAATTGCCATGGCAATCAAATAAATAAATAATGATTGAAAAAATATAAATATACAGTTATGAGTATTGAAATTTAAAAATCATTTTAAATAATACATCAGAGGGGGTTGGCAAAATCTATGGTGGTGGGCAAGCAGGGGACAAAGCCACTAGTAATTAATAAAAAATAAAGCGAAACAAAAATAATCATGGCCAATGATATAATATTTAATTATAGAGTTTGTTATTCATTTAACGAACTTTTTACTGCGAAGGTTAATTTATTTTAACATAAACAATATAAATCGATCTAATCCTATTATTAGTATTGGAAAATTCAATGAATGTGTATAATGGTCTATGTAGTTTATTGAAATGTACAGGTTTTGAATTAATAATCTTTACAATTATTGTAATTTGTAATTTTTGGCCAATAACCGCAGTTTTTTTGCCCGACACTGATTACACGCGATAATCAACCGTATAGATAGATGAAAATATGATAATATAGATGTACGAGTATGAAAAGACCTTGAATCTATGAAAATTCGCACTGTTATCGAGCGTTTATTTTTTTTCTTAGCGATTCTCATGATAAAACGATTTTTATTCGCTCTGGTTCAGCGATAATGAGGCCGAGCTAAGGCTAATTTACATAGGCGCAACAAAGGTTTTATTATTCTTGGAGGGGGCTAATTTTTTTTTCGGTATCGCACCTGCAGAGCACGGCGATTTCACCCCCGCATCTCTCAATTATAAACCATATGAGACATTTTTAATTCAACCAATTGCGCCTATGCTGATCGAGCTGATCGTCTCCAAATTCGGGCGATGGTTTCAAATGCATCTATTTTATACGTTTCGCGGATCTTGGCCAGTATCCATACTCGTATATCTCAACAGTGCCTATAAGATTGGTGTAACAATGAAATGTTAATAATAATTGTATATTATTTTTGCAAAATGATTGACGGCTGTGATTGAATTGCAGGCTTGTTTCCGACTGCAGCCGTCTCACTCACCTGGGTTGACACCAGTACTACGGAAAATATCTGATAAACCGTCTCCACGGTGGTCTTGTGCTTGGGCCGGTACGGTATGAGGATGTAGTGTATGCCGAACAGCGGCACCAAGATCAGCGCGGCTCTGACCGCCTTCCGGACGCCAATCGGCGCCGGGTTGGTCGAGTTCCGGTGCAGTTTAGTGAGCAACACTCGCATGACGTTCATCAGGAACAGTAAGCTGGTCAGTATGGACGCGAAAACCGGCACGGTCAGCACCCACTGGCAGTGGCTCTCGTGCATCCAACACCTGCGTTTTATTAATACTATTATTATGATTACAAACGGTTTTTTTTTTTAAAATCATTTTGTCGTGTCGTAAATGTTATATTGTAACATATTATACATTATTATTATATAATATGGTATCACGGTTTGTGTCGATCCATGTACACAATGTACATTTTAAATGATACCCTGTTCCAAATTTTGATTTGTATTAATTGTTTTGTTAACCACGGTAATGATTAATCAAGGTACTTTAAGAAAATGATACAAGCGAGATTTATAGTACGTTCACGATACCCGATTGATATTGTATGACTGCAGTGGTACGGCGAAGGATCTAGATTGCAAAATATTTCGTGTGTGCCTGGGACCTTGCATTCAACATATTATATCTTCTTTATTGTAATAATTAGATTACTTATACTCGACGCCGGTAATGTTGTTGGTTTATTCAAATTCACATCAAATTCGGTATTGGTTCATAGTCAGAGCATGGGTATTACCTGTTCATTTAGGTATTCATATATAATAAGTAACGATTGTTAGCTATAATAATATGATCGTCGTGGTCTAATGTTCCGCATTGATGTGTCTTGGTTATTGGAGTGAGAAATTGTGTACGATCGTTATATAAATTTAATACCACAAGTTTAAATAACGATAATTCTAGTGATGTTGCGAGTAATCAATATAATGTACCTTTATATTATATTTAGTCTATTTAACTAACTTTTAACGTTAATTTTGAATGTACACCAGGACTCGGAGTTTTGTGAACTTTATGACATTGCAATTGTATATTTATAATATTACATAGATGTGTTGGAAATACAAATAGACTGTTGAAAGAAATTGTAGAACACTATAAAGTAACGTATTCAGAGAATGATACAAATATTGGAATTAAAAAATCTAGTGGGCGTGAAATCAAATCCGGTTTTAAATATAAATTAATGCATACAGTTCTGAGTCCTGGCCAACTATATTGTTTGACAAGTTTAGTATTAAAAATGTATATTATATATATATATAAATATTGTATATGTGACTATGTTGATTTAAATAAGTGTTAAAAATTAAAATCGATGTCCAGTGGATAAACTTATTCGTATTATACGAATAGAGATCATAAAAGATTTCTACTATAATCATATTATTATGTGGTGTGCTTAAACATAAATAAATAAGTATTATTTTGTTCAAACTTAAAAATGGGGTTCAAAATCTTTTCTTCAATGTAAAAAATAAAGTAATATTCAAAAATAATTTAACTAGAGGTCTGGAAAATTACACTTTATTGCGTTCATCATGGTCTTCAGCAATTTTGCATAAAATAAAATTATATGGATACATTTTTTTATAGAGTGCCTGTCGGTTTGTCAATCTTCCCGTCGCCGTCGCAGTATTTATTTTTTTTTTCGAAAATTATATTTTAATGAAATAACCCCCCGAGGCCCTGAACTACAAAGCGGAGCTACATAAACGAATAAAATATTAAATAAAAGTAATATAATATATACTTTCTAAAATGTGCAAAAAATGTTTATTAAGGTTTACGGAGTCGAGTAATATCCGATCTATTTTGCAGTAATACTACGTTGAGTGATCTTCGAATAGGTCAAGCAGCTACCGTGAAGACTAGTTTTATTTCTAACCAGGTAGTTATAATTCTGTAAAAGATCTGCACTATAGAATCTGAACTTTGAAAATAACACCGTCGTTGTGAGTATGGGTTTAGCGTTTTTACGAGGTCGTGTAAATCTGTATGTTAAGTGCGGTTTGCTGTAGTCTGCCGAATGCTTTGATCGCGATGGAAAAGTCGTTAAACGCTGCAAGTACTTGATGACATTAAGAAAGGTAGGTAAATGTTATTATTAATTTTTCAATTAGGATTTACGCCGATCACAAAATATGTCATTGCAGCCGTTCATTGCGACAGAGATTCATCTCCATCGACCATAGCCGGCTCTGCAGATGCGCACGAACTACGACAAAGTGAAATTAGAAATATTTTCATAAAAAACCAACAGTAAAGTATTGCGTTTCAATATGGTAGTATATTTTTATGAGATTCCGTCGTCGCATTGCATTAAATAATGTGTACAAATTGTCTTCTTTCAGTTTCGAAATGCAAAGAAATCATAATAATTAAAATAATATATAAAATACTTAATTATAAATAAATAAATTATAATAAATTATTATAATTAATACTTTATTATTTATGTATAATTGGCAACGTATTAAAGACGCTCTACCTATTTTTTTTAACCGTCATCCGTATGTTAGGTGTAATATGAACATGTCACACGTGGGAATATATTTTAAAATAATTGTGGTTTTTATACATTTATAGGAATACTTGAAAACTGTGTTGTCTTTTTGTCACTAAAATGGTAACTTCTCGTTTCTAGTAAGTCGTTAACTATTACTCTGCTTAGTTTATCTGATATTTGTTATGCTTCGAAATTTGAACGTACGTGATTTCTGAATAATTCTAATATTTTGGTTTCAATGATTAAAATCAATAATTAATTATTGAAAAATTGGTAGTTATGTTATTAAAAACTAAACGATATGGTGTAATTAAATAATATGTTGTTAATCGGTAATATCTAATAAACAAATTATAATAAATTATTAATAAAAAGTTGTCGTTATAAAAATTAAGTGGGCGTGCTTTCATTTAATCATCTTATGAAATATTATAATATGAACGATAGTATTGTCGATGATGGACCGATGGAATGGTGAAAAAAGCTATTTAATTTGGATAAATATTATATTTTTATCCGATGACACGTCAATCGCAAAGTGAAAAGTTATTAATCTTAATGCATTATAATCATGCCACTAACACCTTCACGTTTATCCGGAATCGAAACCCTTCAGAGTAGCGAATAAATTATAAGTTATAATTTTATAAGCATATAAATGCTATCCAGTAAAGGTGAAACTATTTCTTTGACAAATTAGAAACCAAAATTATTGTCTCTCAACAATTGTTATTGATCTTTAAAACATTTTATTTTCTTAATAACCTTAATTTTTTTTTTTGTGGCCAAATAAGTTCAATATTAGTATTGTATTTTAATATTGGCGTTTTTCATAACTCCTACACAAATACATTTATCTAACTACAATGCATCTTTTGGTTTTTTTTTTATATCATATATTATGAATTATTGGAATGCTAATGTTCTTAGTTTAAAAACAAGAACTTGATTGACATGGGACACAACCGATTGTAATCATGTTGTTGTGTATATAATACCTATGTTTAAAACAATATTGCTATCCTTCCCTCCATTAGGTAAGTTAAAAGTATCATTAAAGTATTTAATTATAATATTCAAGTATTTTACAGTATCGTAAAATAATTAGTAATAATAATATGTACCTACACTGCTGTGAATAAAACGAACGAGGTCTTCAAAACATTTCCCCGCTCTCTTGTATCACCAGATTATAAATTGTCTTGCCAAAATATATAAAATCATAAACACAGTCCTGTTTATATTATTTACGTACGTAATTGGCTACCTCTCAATTATTATTTGTACGTCCATATGGTTAATATAAACTCACAAATTTACCACTCGCTCTCGGTTTATTATAAAATTTAAATAAACAAATATGTTTCGATAATATTATGACGCGTTTAAAAGTTGATCATATATTGTTTAATCATAGGAATGTTTGTAGATTTAACATTTAACTGCATTATTATTTTGTCGTGGATCAACATTATCTTGGGAAATATTGATGTGAATTGGTAACTTTTCAATTCTATTCGGTGACATTATTTGTTGTCAATAAGGGAATTATCTATGTTTTTGGCATGCAAGTGTAAATAATTTGTAATTTTCTCAAAATACTTAGGTATTCGATGTTTTTTTCATGAAAATTAATATTCCGATTAAAGTTTAAAGTTGTTGCTCACAATTATTTAGCGTATTTGCGCCTTTAAACTTTGGTCACTGTGTGCAATGCATAACGGCTCTGGTGGTCTGAGGAGATTCGTCCAAGTAAATGGTCAGTGGTGGAGGAAAGTGTAGTAATTACAATTTATATATACCTACACGATACCACCGAGTAAATTCCTTCTACCTGGGAGGGCGACTCCAATTCCGCACGATGTATGGCTGTAATATTAGTTTCCCAACGATGACCCAGACGGAAACTATTATTCGTGTCAACTAATAAATCGACTGACCACCGACGTACGTTATTCTTTTAATTAAACACACACACACACACACACGCACTAGGTAATGAATGTTTTTCCGCGTGAAACCACTAACACATTCTTCTGATCGCGTTCATAGATATATATTATGTTCATATTATTATTATATAAACGTATATAAATCCATGGCAATCTCCTTTGTGAAATACCTCCTAATCCCATCAAGCGTAAAACTCGCACCGCCTACTACACATCATCATCTACGTTGTTTATATTAAGTGTCAGAATTTTAAGATGAGATTGGTAGTATTTTTTTAAACCACAAGCCCCGATGTCTAAAAATTCGTTCTCTATAAATTTAAGAAAATAGTGTTTGGATTACACAACCTCGACGTAACAATTTTGTTTCTGAGACGTGTTAGCTGGTATACGTGGAATTTTGAGACACGTATGTTGGACCATGTGAATATTTTAGAAGCTGAATTATTAATTTTCGTCAAATATTTAACATTATTATGCAAGTTTTAAAGTGTAGGCCACATGTTCCAGCTATTATTTCCAGGTATTACCAATACTACTGCAGTCAGCGCACGAATATAATGTTTTACGGCTGGTGGGTGTCTCAAAGGTCAGACGAGAAAAGACACTCGCATCGTGTACTGACTGACACACATCTGTGAGCTAAGATTTTGGTGACTTTTGCATTTTTTTTCTCTAAGTGTTGTACAATTCTAACCAAAAACTAAATTTGTTTCGTAATATAACAATTTAAATATATGCAATTTTTATTTTGCATTTTTTTAAATTTTTGCATTTTTTGTATAAAATGTATTTTATTTCGTTTTAAGGTCATTTTTACGTAATATTAAAAAATATTATCATTTTGTATATTTAAATAATTTTTGTTTATTTTAAGCTTTTTTAATATGTGTTGTAAAGGTAATCCCAATATATTAGTACATATAGGCAATTACCTACTCCAGTCCATTGATATTGAAAAAGTAATATAATTAATGGTTGATTTATCCGATAAGATTAAATATGAAATGAACCCATAACTATTTAGGTATACAATAGTAGCTTTAGTACTGAATTCGACACGTACCTATGTGGTTCTACCGATCTTGACTGTGCAAAATTCCAAAAATTAAGTTAATAGTAGGAAGCCGTTTACATAGTTTTGTGAGCGAGTTTGGTGCCGATATTTTTTCTACGGACGGTATGGTACTTTTTTGTAAAGTTTGTAATGTCGCAGTTGCCTCCGAAAAGAAATTTACAATTCAACAACACATCAAACGAGATAAGCATGCTCTTGGAATTCAACGAAAACTGAATGAAGTGAAACAAAATCATCAAGTACTATTATATAATTTAACAAATAATAGTTTAATTTAGAGCTTTGCGAAACATTATTATTGAAATTTAGCGACATTTTTTTCGTTCATCTAAGTAAATTTTTTGGTCATTTTTAAGTTCATTTTTTAGAGATTTTAGGTCATTTTGCATTTTGTTTAGTGCATTTTAGTGTATTTTTTAGGTCATTAAAATCCTAGCTCTATACATCGCTATTATAATTATGTATTTCGTTTTAAAGTAATAGTACTCTAATTCGAAATGTTGGTTCTTCGAGGAGGTTATTATCGTTATTGCCGCTGCAGTAGTGTCCATCACAGAGCAAACCAACTGTTGCACGCGTGCCCGTGAATTTTAAGACGGGCATATAACACATGATTTACAATAAGTAAAATCAGTAAGAAAAGTTGTAGTAGCGTATGGTGATAACTGATAAGCGACGGATTTTTCTGGTTTTCCGATCGATGCACTCACTGTGCGGTGTCCTCGGAATTGCTCCTCCACGAGACGTACAGGACGGTGAGTCCTGCAGGTACGCCCCAGCCGATGGCGTAGAACCAGCGCATCGCGTTCACGTCGTTGACGAACACCACGACCAGAGCCATGTGCAAGTGCAGTCCCTCGCAGAACATCCACATGTAGTTGGCCACCATGAAGAACTGCAGAGCCACGTGCAAGGACCGGCAATACATCTAAATGTAAACAGTAAACGAATCAAATTTGTGTATAATCTTGTGATATCGATGAGTGCATGGTACGTAGTATACATGCGATAGTATTTTGGTTATTCAATTGACGACAATAATGGAAGCCAGGGGACGTAGTATATTGGACAGTGAGTAGTTAGGACGCGGTGCCCGTGGCACCAATATTTTTTTTCAGACGTTGTGCGGTGAGGTAATTTTACCCACCAACCACCACCAGATTTTAATCTAAGCGAAACGTTCGATTTTTGATAAATGATAAAACATACATTACATTTTAACACACTCTATGTACAGATATATTTTAGTATTTATAGATATTTATTATTATTCAGTAATATTAAGAGAATAGACGTGATGGGCTTACGAATCGAGCCGTCCAAGAGGCCATTGATTAATTCATATACTTTTACTAGATGTTAATCAACGATTTATTTTTTAAATTTTTCAGGTTTGTTCGCGGTAGTAATGCAGCTTAACCTTTGTCGACACGTTGCATAATATACACTTACGAGAATGATACTAAACTGTTGTGGGTTCTACATAACTCATAAAATTCAATAATTTTCCCATATTTCAATACATATATGAAAATATTGAAAACGTGTTGAGAATTGTTCCGTATACTCTAATTAATATTCCAAATGGAACAGTCGTGCTCAAAGACGTAATCAAAAAAAAAAATAATAATTAAATCTGTAAAAAACCCCTATCGAGCAACGATTTATAAATGCTTTAATTTTGTCCGAATAAAAATATTCTCAGTGGTTGGTGTGGAAAATACCATCGATGGTGGCACGGCAGTGAGTAGGTATTTAGAATATTTTAAATTTTTTAATGGGAAATTATAAAATTAATTCTGTTTGAATACAAACATTTTATTTCTATCAGTAAACCATAATAATGCAGTATAAATACTGGGCTCCAATGCAATAATGTATTAAGAGGACGTAACACTGGCATTTGTTGTCCCGATCTTATAAGTGCTTAAAATACGAAATTTACCCTCAGAAGATCACGTGTAGATTCGTTAATTCAAAAATTTGGGTGAATTGATCTATTATGAACTTGATGGTAAGAACATTTTCAGATGTTTCAGAACACTATCTGTGTTTGTGTGTTAGTGTTGAAGATAGTTCAATTTTTAAGAGAGTTATAATCATTTTCAATATATGATATATTATACCCGCATAACTAGCCCAAAAAAATAAGCTTTCTTGAAAATCTGAAGTACAAACATAGCTGATAATGTTTTTTACCACCATTGAGTTTCATAATAGGTCGATTCACTTTAATTTTTAAACTAATGAAGATATACGTGCTTTGCTGAGCGTCAATTTTCTATGTTGAGCACTTGCTAGACGCGGAGACAACAAATATCAGTGTTACGCCCTTTTAATAATACAATACAGAAAAGGCGCCTAACCGCAGTAGGTACTGCAATAGTGCAATTAGTTTTTTAATTCTGCTTTTATTCAGATTAATCACACCTATATGACTTATATACAGGTAGTGTCAGGTACAACAGTTTACCTGTAGACGTTGTTGAATTATGTATATTAACTATTATTCTTTTATTGCGTATTTTATTATTTATTTTATTTATATAGTTTCATATGAATATTATAAGGTAATAATATATGGGCTATGATATTCACTATTATCAATTTATTAATACACAATCACTGTTTATGTCGTAACAGTATAACTCTGCCTGTATACATAGTAGGGAAAAATAGACATATCATTGTAATAGTATTGTCAACTAGAGATGCACAAAAAAAAAAAAAAAAATACAATACAAAATGTAATTGTTTCAGACAGGTAAATTACAAAATTATTAATACAGTAGTGGCACCATTACTATAATATTATTCTATTATACTTCATAGTTTATATTATTTTTAAGTTCGTTAATATTCTCAATAAACCTACTTGAAAGACGTTCAACAACTTGTTCGGAAACATTTGATGCTAGTTGAACCGTAAAATTGGTTACGATTAATACTTGAACCGGGGCTAATTGATATAATATGTTATACATTTGGTTATTATTATAACTACTATTATTAATAATAGGTACCAATAAGTGCTTACTACTCTGTATGCTAATAACTTAGAGCTAAACTAAACCGCTCTATTTTTATATCATCTACCACTCAGTCATATTATAATTTATATGATTAAAATTCTGCTGCTGCTTAACGATAATAATATTGTTATACAACGTGCATAATACATTTAGCTATACAATTTAGTATGCATCTATTATTACACTTTCACAATATTCAGCAATGCACAATGTTAAAATTAAGATTAATGTAATTACAGAAATCGATTGCAGTTTCTTTGAGAATTTCCGTAATCAACCAACATTTCTACTTTGCTGACTTTCAAATCGTATTATAGCAACGTATTGAATTTTCAAGCTTTTGGATTTGCAGAAAAACCCGACATTTCACGTTATCATACACCTACGGTAATTTAAAAAAAATAGAGGAAGTGGAAAGTTTAAAATGTCCATAAATAGCGCTAAATAGACCTGAAATATTTTAAACATTTCATAATTTACAAACATTTTAAATATAAATTTTAAGTCTTTATGTTTATCTGTTTTTAAATTACAACAATCATAAGAAAAATCCATTTTCCTTAAAAACTGGTCTTGCGTAATATTTGTGTTTTATTTCCTGATTATTTTGAAGACCAAGTAAATAATTAATTTGACTTCTCAAAATACCATTTAGAACGAATTTTTCTATCTAACTTGAAAAAAAGAGCATTTAATGAAAGCTGATAACTGATATGCATAAAAAACGATACTTAATAAATGAAAAACACTATTAATTGCAATACCAGTGCATTTATCGGCTCAGGGCTGTATACAAATTAAAATCAACAATACTTTAATACCTACGAAGTACATGTTTCGGATTATGCTTATGTAACTTATTGCAAATTTGCAAATAAACATTTTATATGATAATATTATTTAGTGTAAATATAAATTAATGCTAGTCATTTAATGTTAAAATTATTATTTATTTTAATATTTCTAACATGTAATAGTGCTCATTTACGTACAATTAATGAAGATATAATAATAGTATCTATAGGTATTTTTTCCTTCTACATAAATAAAAAAATAATTCCATACTTCTAACTAAAATTGTTCAAAGCTTTAAGTGTAAGTAATACATTTTTTAAGGAAAAGAGAGTTGTTTGTTATATGTTTTAAGTTGTCTAGGGTAGTATGTGGGGTCTTCTTTTAGTTTATCATAAAAAATAAACAATACTAATAACACGATAGAATCTCATACTAGTTAAATAATTTTTTTATTGCTAAGTACTCGTTTAGAATAATATTTACTATTTTTTTTTAGTATTTTTCTCAACTCTTTCAGTTTTTTTCAGAATTTAACCACTCAGATATTATTTTAATCAGTTGTGTTCAGCATGTAAGTAGGTATCAATAAAATCAAAACTGCTCTATAAGTGTGGTTCTCATTCCATATATGTATATACCTAACTTATATATATTAGGTTTTATTTAGGCTCCTGTAAATATTTGATAGGTTTATATAGCATGTACTCGTGTCCAATGTTGCCTAATATAAGTTTGTACTTTGTAGAAGATAAAAATGTCAAGTTACGCACTTGTGCAATTTAAATTTGTAATTATGAACTTCCCGTATAAAAAAACGCTAATACACTATGTAGCAATATTGACAGGTACTATTCAATATAATATAACATTGTTTATTCAACGAATCAGTAATGAATAAATAAACACGAAACGATATTAATATGCATAACTTTTATTATTGTACCTACGGTTAATTATTTTCACTCGCCGTGAACACTTATCATTTCGATAATGTATATGTTATGATTTATTTTTTTTTTAAATTAAAAACAACATTAAAAAGATTACTTTTACTCTCACAGAGAAAACATGTGTGGAATTTTAAATAATATGTATTGACTATATGTTAGCGTTTTATATTAATATGTCGATGTTCTGATTTTAGCCTGCAAATGCAGGGTTCAACAAAATTGTTTATTCACAGTATCTCAGTGTCGAGTTTTGGGCTAATGAATGATCAAGCCGATCTGTACAATAATTGATGGCAGCGATCATATAAGTAAACATTGCTCGGATCACGGTCATTCTATTCTTTTTAAATTTCGTATTGAATCGTGACAGTGCAGAATATTCAGATTTCCTATTCTCTATCATGATGGCGAACATACTGTACATGATTTGTTGCACGGCGTATTGTATAAGCGATATATAGTCACAACTTTCGTGCGTCGCAGACGTTTTGAACTTACGTGTTGCATTGCTTTGTCCCCGGCGCTGGTTTGTAAATTTATAATCTACAAGAACTATTATAGTGGATTTACTGCACTGTTTGTTCATTCGTCGTTATTTAAACGTTTAAAGACGACGAAAACTTTAGATTCATTACTGTTTGTTAGTAAATTTAATTTTTTTTTTTAAAGTTATTATTTTGCCGCTCTAATTATAATATCAATATCATATACAATTTAAATTTAACTGCAGTTGAAAATTCGTATTGAACCTAAAATAATAACAAGTAAATGAAAACGTGTTAAAAGTTCTAATTTTCACAGAAATATATTTGTATGAGTAAATATTTAACAATATAATCGTGTAAACATTTATTTTTATTTTTAAGTACACACGAGTCGTCTGAGAAAATGAACGTCTTGTGTAAAAGAAATAAATCGTATGGCATATAGTGTATAACGTTCGATGTAATGCCCTGGATTACGTTATTTACTCGATATCAGCACCGAACGAGCGTAAGTCGGTCCCATAATCGCTAGTGTATTAGTGAATATTGACGTTTTTGCGGCTTTTAATTCATTCGGAATCGTTAGAAATTGTAATTTATTCCTGAGCCGACCCTGTAGCAGCTACAAACATATACGAATATATCGTATACACGTACCGAAGGTGCCTATTAAGTGAGTGCGTGATTAATGGATTTCGGGATTATATAAATTGTATTTTATTCCGGAGGCTTTTATTGACATGTTTTATGCGTATTGACTAAAAAAACTTTTTTCTCTTACCGAGACAAATGAAAATCAGTAAATATGAACAATGAAATAATTTTAAAAAAAAACCATACGGCAAGATTATAAAATCTTTTGGGGTTTGTTGCTTATTATTGGTTCTTATGAAATTATGTAAGTTATGTGTGTCCTATATATTGCACACACGCAACTCTAGCATACAAATCGACAAGTTGGACTGGTATGATGATATTATGAAAAAATTAACATATAATTTCAAATAACCAATGATAAATCTGTACACCGTGGCCAATAGCACCGAAGAATTTCAAACAAATTTAAGTCATCGATCGGCATGCTATACATCTCTCTCTCTCCTTCTTTCTACATAATAATATACTTCGTGATTCACCTAGCTCTACACACCCGTTTTTCTCTCGAAATTATTCAAATGTTAATATTTCAATTTTTATTTATGCTTTAGTAAATTAAGAATGTCGCTTAGTAGTATAATCTTTTTTTCTTCAAATTATAATAAAACCCATTTTTGAAGTTTTGGATAGTTTTTGACATTTGGAAAAAATGGGGATGACAATGTTCGGTGAATATATAGCTATCACTATTGGGCTTGTAACATAGTATAACAAAATAATACATCCAATCAATAGGTAACAATAAAAACCACACAGGCACTTGACTTTACTATCCGAAACACCCTCGACTTTGCTATAGTTCATGGATTCGTTTTCTTTACCTACGGTAAACCTGTACAACGTATGCAGTGACGCTTACCCCATTTTCTTTGACAACCGACAGGTCTTGTACGACCGTTTTGTACCAAATGATCCATGTGAGATTGTTCAGAGCCAACGATATGAACAAGTGTACGTGTATAGCGATCCTGGTGCACCTCAAAGTCCTGTAAGCACAGTGACACAATATCATCAAAGTGATCGACTTGACATTAATCAATGTTAAACTCAGACCAGCTAGCGATTATCACGACAAGGCTCGACAATTTTTGCGGCATCGTGCACTTTTGCCACATCGTAATTTTCTGATAATTAATCTCGATTTTTATGTTTTAAGTTTTTGTTAACTATAATTGTTGTGATGTGTTTTAAAAACGAATTAAACGCAAATATACCATGGGGATAATATTTAAAGTGGTTACATATTATTATTATGTTTTGAGTCGATCATCGGGTACCTATCATATTATATAATATATATATAACTAGGTATATAGTTCTAAAATTAAGTTTATCTTTACAAAATAACCGATTTAATCATCTCCGGCTGTGCGTCCAGCGTGTAGCGTATTATGTGTCTTTCACTTACGAACGATGGCATAGTATAAGATATTCTAGTGCATAAACAAAAGGAATCAAATGGGAAAGTTTGAAATGTTCGGGAACAAAGAACGGACTATCGCATCTACGCTTGCTTCACGCTTTTGGCTTTTCTAGGATAGTTTTTAAACTTTCCGGACACGTTTTCAATATGCACCAAACGCATACGTGTTATATATATATAAATAATATTATTTAATACCGTACACGCGTGCGAATGCGGAAGTTCGGGTGTGTATAATGTTGACCGGAATGCGAGAACAAATGCGGAAAGAATCGTCTGAAAACGTTTTCTCGCCATGATGTTACACCAACAAGTTTACTGCGACTACAACTACTGAACTACACACACACACACACACACACACACACACACACACACATATCGTGCGCTTACACTCGGCGGAGAACCGTATTACATAATATTATAATGTTTTATTTTTTTTAAGAGTTTTCGATCGTAAGCCGGTGGTTTGCAAAAGCGTTGAAAAATATACAGAATACAGATATTATGTTGTTTTTAGTTTTACTTGAACGTGAAGAAAATCAGCAACGACGTGAGCAGAGCGGCCAGCGAGACGGAGTAGCCGAAGATGTACAGCGTGTTTATCAGTTGCCGAAACTGGAAGAAAAAAAAACACAACGAGATCACTTCTGCAATGCCTTTAGGCGATGCAAATAATGAAATCAAATTCTCCGAAAACCGCGCAAGTCCCTGCGCAGTACGTATACACACCTTTGCGGTTATTGAATTATTATTATTATCATATTATATTTATAAGTATGTACGATCCGAATACCTCGAAGTCGTCAATGTCCACGCAACCGGTGTAGTTGGCCCACTGTTTTCCGGTCTCCGGATGACGGTACCACGTACCGTTCGGCAGACAGTTCTTGAAAGCTTTTCCTGGAAAACAGACATGGATAATAGACGATACACGACCGCGTACCTATATCACTGCGCATAAACTATTACGATCGGTAAACGATATGATATAATATTATATTGTCCTCAAATCTGAAGCCAGTGTTGAAAAATATTCTAAATTAGTTGATAGGAGTATATAATGCACTATATATTTTATTGAAACTGTTTATACAAGTTATAAATATTATATAATTAAAAAATATATAAACTATTATTATGATATAATATTATTGTTGATACATGTTTATGCAACACTATCTATGCATATTAAATATAGGTATCAGAACTAATATAATATAATAAATGTTATTAGATTAGGATCAATAATACGAGTACATATTGTATAGTTGATTTTTTAATAGTTCAACAACTAACGTTGAAAAATTGAATTAACGTACCAAATTGGTATCAAATTGTTGTAGGAGAGATTTACATTGAACGCCGTTGCCATCACTGCATGAAAAAGTTGGTCGGTAGAAGCGAAGGTTAAGGGGTCTGAACACATCCTACTGCAGAGTCCCATTAAAAAAGTGTATATAATTATTATTTAATATTTAAGGGTAATTTTCATTATTTTTTAAAAATGAAAATGTTCATAATATTATATTTTATTTATATTATATTTTTTCAAACCACATTAATTACTTTGCTACACTAACAGTGATACGGACATTACAGGGTGTCCCGCGAGGATTTACCCATTGCGATATCTCCTGAGATAATACATTTACCATAAATCTATTTTTGTATTAGACTCTCGGAGACAAGCACTACATATTTTTTATTTTTTTATTTAATTACATTTCTAGGTAAGAAAATTATAAAATATATTTTTTCATTTATTTATTTTTGAAACAATATTGAAGATATAACTTTTGTAGAGTTCATTTTTCTAAAAATCTTGACTTCTCGACATTTTATTTTCATTAGTTTTATGATTTTTAATCATTTTTTTTTAGTTTATAGGTAAAACGTAAAAAACCGGTTTTTGTCCTGGTGACCCTTTGTCCGAGTCTTCCTCTACAGCTTATGAGTATATTCTCACTGGACACGCTATGTAGACGCGGTTTCTGATGCAGTACTGGACGCAATATAATGTCAGGTTAAGTCACTATGAAAGATATACAGATTGCACATCGCTCTTTATCAAACAGCTTTCAGATTGACTTACAAAGTGATTAACAATTTATTATAGCCTTAAAAAATAACCACTACCGCTTAATGAAAACACTCAACAATATGGGTCAACATTTTGAAATAATTTTACACCTATGTATCAATAATCGGTTATTTTTTGCTAGTAATTTCTTGGCCTGCTTATCAGACGTCCATGGGCAACCAGTATATCTTTAATCGCAGGTTAAGTTAGAAAAATATTCATATTATGTTTTACTACATTATCTCCCTCTCTATTTTGAACGTTCAGTGTTCATTTCGGTTTGCAGGTATAGGTAGGTGGTACCTATAAGTTTCGTCAACTCAATATCATATTATATACGTTAAATATAATCGCGTACTTTATCGATTATTCGTTAGAAAAAATATGCATTGTTGGCTTTTTGATACGATTGGCGAAAACGATGAAAACGGTTCGCATTTGGATTGGATGTATGCGCTATTACAATAGAAAAGTTTCGAACGCTACTCCATACCACGACAATAAATTGACTAAATTCGGCAAATTCACCTGGGTTTTATCAAAATATTCCTCGCAGGCCCTTTTGTGCGTTTATCCCGATGAAATCGCGTTCGCCGCACCGACGGGACCTACGATATTATAATAGCCGGTATCTTCGGTATATTACAGACAGGCACACACACACACACACACACACACACACACACACACACACACGTACGCACACAGGCATTGAACACTAACAACTCTGAAATGAACCACGAGACTTGTCTTAAGTAAAAATAATGTTCTTTTCAAGAGCAAACACACTCGACTATATAAATATATAATATTATATATATTATATAGTTTACACGGTGTGTGTGTGTGTGTGTGTGTGTATACATAGGCTTACGTCAAAACCCAGTAAGACGGAAAATTGCGTTTAAACGGATTTTTTTTATGGTCTCGCGTACATTCGCGGGGCTTCCGTTTTAGTGGCCATTATACCATCGCCGCGCATATTATACACATATTTTATAAAAAATGTATAAAAATCCGATCTGATAACTATAATACTTTTATGATCTGTATACATTTTACAATAAAGGACGCTTCTATATATATATAACATATAATATTACATACCTAGGTATCACCTCTATAAGCCCCGCTATGCCTATATAATATATTATAATATTTATTTAATCGTAATAATAATAAATATGCGATATCGATGAGGTTACGAACAGATTATAATAATAATACGCTTTAGCGATGTGTTCGGGGCGTCCAAGAGTTGTCCATACTTCATATTACACGTCTCGTTGCTATAATATTATATTGATTGATGGTATATTAAATTATGTATACAGGGTGATTGGGTGATTCATTTAGCGTAAAACACTTATTGTTTCAGAAAACATTAATGTTTGTGTAAATATTTCTTTTACGTAATTGTAGGTCGTTTCAACATTTCTTCTAAAATAAAATATTTTTAAAATTTTTACCGATATATTTTTTCTAATTTTAACTTTTTTTAATGACAAAATTCATTTTTAATAAAATTCCTTATATCAAATCAGAATTATTTTGATGGACTTCGATTCATAAAAATTTAGTTTTTAACTAGTAGCTATTATGAATGATGATATCTTATGGATAAGTATTTAAAGTGTTGATGAGCGGAGTGGAGTTGTGGAGAATGTTGATCCATTATGCTTAGCTTGTTTGAACTATAAATTACTTATCATTCATAACTCATAAGCTACTCCTTCAAAATTAAAATTTTTATGAAATTATAAAAAGCAAAATATTAAAAAAGTTATAACAATTAAAAATAGTAAGAATATAATTTTTTAAATAAAGTTGTTTCTTAACGACTCGGAACAATGTAAAAATAATGTTGTTCTTAAAAACAGTAATAGTTGTTTAAATAATAAGTGTCTAACATTAAATGGATCTTCCAGTATATTGTCCATCGCAAAGTGCAATAAATAGACGTCAGTAAAATAATTACATATCTGACTTATTTAAATATTAGGTAAGTACATAATATATCCATAATATATTTATTTCTATGAATACATTGTTTTATAATTTTATATACAGAGTACAGACTAACGATACGAATACATAATAACACTCGGGAACTCCAGCTTGTCCATTTTGGAACCTAAAATGGCAAATTAAGTACAAAATATATCATAATATTTTGTTAGAATTGCAAAGTACACATAATACTATAATAGTCACTACCTACGGTTGTACGGTAGGTAGGTACTATTGAACGTATTTTAATAAAGTCACAGAATTGGAATTCAATCGTTTGCTGAAAATTTTGGTCATGTACAACATCATAATTTTACTATCAAGTTTTATTGCTGGTACTCTCATTGTGATATATTTTCTAACCTATTGGCTATCATATACATATTAATATGATTATTTTATGCGTTGAAACCGTGTTTTCTAATATATCGCAATGAAAATTAATTCAAATTCCCAACAAAGTATTTAAAGTGCAAAAAAAAAAAACATTCAGATACTTCCAATTTATTCGATACAACATGACGTGTACAATGGACCGAAACATCAACATAATTAGTTAAGTTGAACGATCACAACCTGTCAACCTATACACGTATAGCTGACAACTCAATGCAATGCAAAGCATTGTACAATACAATACATATTATTATATTGTGCTTTATATATTTTCATTGTTTTTGTGTTTTGGCTGGTTAGCGCAAAAAATCGCGTTCAATCAAATCGTAATTAATTTTCATGTAATTTGTACGCCCTACGAATACGGTTGGAAATCGAACGACATTTGAACATTTCGGAACACAAAGCCCGAATCTGTCCATAAATCACCCGAGGGCTCTCATATTCTTCGGATTGGAACGAGTGCGAAAATCGTTTTAATCCATAACCGCGGTATGAACCGGATGTTTAGTTCGGCTCGACCATTGCGAGACGAGTGTGAAAATATCGTCATTCAACTGAAAAATAAACTCGTGTTTCTAACGGTTGTACCGAAGTAGATATAACAAGTGCAGGTATAACACTATAGCCGTTTAAATACGATTTATTTATAATTACTAATTTAATTAATAATTTAAATTATACGTATAGACTGACTATAGGGCATACTAAAATATATGTTTACAATATTTTTATCGCAAGCATGTAACAAATAATACTTTTATCGTTACGTTGTATGTGTGTATGAATTACGCAGTTGTGATTTTTTTTGTTTCTGAATTAACAACGAAATGCTTGCCCAACTGTAACCCTTGTAATATAATATAATAGTCTCGGCTATTATTATTATTTGTTATAAGGATTAGAATAATAATTATTGTTGTTAATAATCGCGTATATACTCGCGGAAACGCCTGTTATACATTCGAAATAATTATTTGTTTGCGCGGCGCAGCGTAATAATAACTGTGAGACATAACATTATAATATTATATAATTATATTTGTATTTGTCATTTGTATAGTACTTTAGTGTTATGATCGTCGAATATTCGGGAATGTTATCTTTTGTCCCTGTCATAAATATGTCGCCTTTTCCTGTGTATGCGTTCGCTGATGGCGTATTTTCGTAAATACTATAGGCGTATGTGTCTGCGAGCTTATAATATTTTGAATTCGACCGAATGACCGCAAAGTCGTCTGCCCCAAACCATGAGATCAGCTATTTTAATAAAATGTATAGAGTTGTATACAATAATATATTACCTATTTTATACTTGCAGTATAATATAAAATATTTAAATCTGGTCGCGAATAAAAAGCAAAAGTATTAACGAATATACTGTGCATATTATAATAATATGTTTATGATAATT